TAGAGAGTATTTAAAAGACAAAACACAAAACACAAATTTATACTTGTAACAGCTTTTCCATATCGCTATCCATATTTTTTGTAACAATCCTATTTACAAAAAATTCTATTTCTATATTGTTATCCTAAGTTATATCCTTATTTAAATACTCTCTATACACTATACATTTATCCTTTATGCCTTAAGTTTTACGTTTACTCTCAAGCCATCTTCGATGGGAAAATGGAGAAAAAATGGCAATACATAACATTACACATATTAACCATAAGTAGAAGCGTCTTAGCACAGAACTGGAAACAAACAGATACCCCACCAGACACTATTATAAGAAGGAAAATCTATGAATGTGCAGAAATGGATAGACTGTCTATGGAAATGAAGGAGAGGGAAGAAACCGAGTATTATCAAATTTGGAATCGATGGTACTCCTAGCTTGACAGTTACACCCTCTTAATTGGATAACGTTTAAATATAAAGGAATAGTTTTGGAAGCAAGTGGGTCCAGATCTATTTATATCTTTGCAATCTTTTCATGGGAAAGACCTTTTTTCTTTTCAAGCATTTAAAGCAAGGTTTCTCAACCTTGACAACTTGAAGATTTGTGGACTTCAATTCCCAGAATTCCCTAGGCAGCTCGGTTGAGATTGTGTTTACCCTTCTTTCTGTTTCTTCCTTTGTATTGTTGTGAGCCGCCTAGAGTTGCCCCAACAGTGACATAGGCAGCAGATAAAATTGACAAATAAATAAATACAGCAGAGGCATTGCAGGCCAGTCTTTCTCTGTTTCCAGAGCAGCCCCGTGGGTGAGATCTAAGCCCCCCCATGGGCCGGCCCACAAGTCATGAGTTTGACACCCCTACCCTAGAATATCAGAGCTAGGGAACCATGGGCCTTTTATAAGTTGTGGACTTCAACTCCCAGAATTCCTGAGCCAGCAGCTGAATTCCACAAGTCATAAAAGGCCCATCGTTCCCAACCCTTGCCCTAGATCAGTCAAACTCACACCATCACGTGACGCATTGGGACTTCCCCCCCCTTCTCTAAACCAGGCGGAAACGGAACCAACATGTGACACATCTGGCCCGCGGTCCACGAGTTTGACACCCCTGCCCTAGATGAAGCTTTGGGTGATCCAAGATGGCTGTTCTTAAATATTTACTCCTTTTGGGGCACTTTGCTTTCCCATCTGCTTACATGTAATCATCAAAGTAGATGTTAAAATATCTAAGGAGGCTTGTTCTTTATTCTGTGGGACAGACTTCGCCGACAGCAGAACCTCCCTCTTTTTGGGAAGATCCGTGGGTCACGCTTTGGTCCGGACGAGCCCGGAGATTGTACCAGCGACTTGGATGAAGACGAAGACTTGAAAATCCAAGTTCCATAGCAGCTGGTTGACCAACTCTGGAGTTACTGAAGGTTACATCTTGAAAGGAACCAGGAAGTTATGGAGCTGAGCCCAGTGGCTCTTGCGGGAGATCGTTCCTTGTCCCACCTTAGAGCTTCTTCCTCCACCTGACTTGACAGATGATCAACGTGCTCTAGACAGAGGACATCAGCTGTCATGCGCTGGCCTTCCTCAGAAGATTCATGGAGAAGTTCTGAGAAACTTTCTTGAAAGTCATACCCCTGTTTCTCCTTTTTCTTCTCCTAGGTCAGCCCCAATCCATCAAACACCATTGAGACTAACAGGAGCAAAATACTATAAGCTTCCCAGAATCCAAAGAAATGGGAATCACCTCCTCCTGTCCTAGAGCGAACATGTTTAGCCACACCTCTTGCAGCCTTAATTTCTCTCCCACTTAAAGATTCTGCAAATGCTACTTTCCTTGAAGTTAGTTGTGTGCAATTCCAATTCTTCAGATCCATGATTTGGGGATGAGCTCACCTGAAACAGCAGGCCAAGGGGGGAATCAAAATGTGGGAGAGAACAAGGCAGGTTCTCTGTTACTAAAGATCCCACTGAGTCCCCCACCTCTTTCCCAAACCAACCACTTCAAAATCTTCTGACATACCCGTCCCTCCATATCTCATGAGGTCTCAAGAGAAGGCAACGGAAGCACCAGAAAATCTGAGAGGTGGATTTTTCCATCTTGTTAGCCTACCTTATTATAAGTATGTGTAAATATATATGTTTTGTATAATGACTTTGAACTAGCCATGAAATTCCCGCCTGTCTACAGGAGAAAAGTTAAGAGTGAATTCTTGATATGCTATGTCTCAAAGATGCTTCTTCTTTTCAAAAGACAAATGGACCTCTTTTTTTGAGGAGGAGGAAGAAATTTTGCTTCTCATCCAAGAAGCTTCATCAGTTATGTGATGATGGTCATCAAACGGATGAAGCTTCTTGGATGAGACACAAAACAACTTCCTCCTCCTCCTCCTCCTCCTCCTCCTCCTCCTCCTCCTCTATTTTAAATCAACCAAGTCCTTAAAATGAGGAGAAAGCCACAAGAGCAGCTCTCTTGGACCTGCTCTACCAAGGGATCCATTCCTGGATCTTCAGTAGATCTTTTCTGATCCATTCTGAGGACTGTTGGGTCTCTTGGCCATAGCACTTCTATTATACATTCTCTCACATTGAGCAGCTACTCAGCAGATGGATTTCTAGATCTCGTGGGCCTTAGACCTACGTCACCGCTACAAAGTGTGTGTCTGATTGTGGTACTAGCCAGAGGAAGATGTTTATCATTTTTCTTCAGCCATCAGAGCGGCTGAATTCTCAAGATTTTTCATCCCAGCACTGGTAGGATTTAGCATTCTACCTGAACATAGGCCTTACTCACACTTTGCACTGTGCAATCATGGTTTCAAATACCCACCATCTAGAGTTGGTTGGATTCACGTAGGCTAAGCCAACATTAAACCTCATTGTAGTTTGATATATTGGATGGAGCGAGCCCTTGTAAGGGGGGGTGGGCTCTCTTGCTAATTGGAGGGGGTGTCCAGCCTTGACAACTTTAAGACCTGTGGAGCTCAACTTCCAAAACTCTGACTGGTCAATTCTGAGGAACATTTCCAAGAAAGTGAAGCTCCCGGTAGAATGATTGCTACTTTTCCTTCTCCCATACTTCCTGCTCTTCCCAAAGAATTCCATGTCCTTTGCCATCTGCAAGCTCATTTCTTGAAATCTGGAGAGCTAAATAACTAGTTGGGAAATAACAGGACCACACTCATGATTTGCTCTGTGTCAGTTGTGCTGTTTGGAGCAGTGTTTTTCAACCTCGGGCACTGGAAGAGGTGTCGACTTCAACTCCCAGAATTCCCCAGCCAGCTCAGGGAGTTGAAGTCGACACCTCTTCCAGTGCCCGAGGTTGGAAAAACACCAAGTTAGAGATCTAGGAATCCTAGTTGCAACACAATCTAGGTTTGTTAGGTACGGAATACACAAAATCTTATTTGTTGCTGATCTGATGCTCTTTCCGAAGTGGCAAACAAATGCTGAGTGAAACTCCAGAATATGGAGGTCTCTCACAGGTACCGTTGACTTCACAAGCAAAGAAATGGTTTGTTCAACTTTCTTTTTTAAAAAAAATAAAAAAAGAATTTATACTAAATGTGTTGGGTGGATTTGATCCCAGAGAGAGAGAGAAGGGGCATAGAGGAATGCTCGACTTACAATGGTGCATTTAGGGACCGTTCAAAGGGTGCTGAAAAACCTTTTTCACACTTAATGACCGCTATAGCATCCCCTGATCGTGGTCACACGATCAAAATTCAGATGCTCAGATGCATGATGGTTGCGTTGTCCCAGTGTCACCTGATCCCCTTGTGCAAACTTCTGACAAGCAAAGTCAATGGGGAAGCCAAATTCACTTAACAAACATGTCCCTAGCTTAATGACCAATCAGGCCACAGCCCTTTTATTTCTCCTCTTCCTCCTAAACCCCATTCCCTTCTAGCACTGATGGTGTTTCCTAGTTTGGTAATGAAACATCTGCAAGATGACAGTCAAGCTCAAAGAGTACCAAGGACTCCATAGTTCTCTTCCTCCTCCACCACCACCACTCCTCCACCACCACCACCACCTCCTCCACCACCACCACTACCACCACCTCCACTACCACTTCACCACCAGCAGCACAACCACCTCCACCATCACCACCAGCACAACCACCACCACTCCTCCACCACCACCACCACCTCCTTCACCACCACCACCACCACTACCACCACCTCCACTACCACTTCACCACCAGCAGCACAACCACCTCCACCATCACCACCACCTCCTCTTTCTCCACCACCACCACCTCCTTCACCACCACCACCACCACCTCCTCTTCCACCACCACTACCACCTCCTCTATCACCACTACCACTACCTCCTCCTCTACCACCACTACCACCACCACCACTACCACCACCTCCACTACCACTTCACCAGCAGCAGCACAACTACCTCCACCATCACCACCACCTCCTCTTTCTCCACCACCACCACCTCCTTCACCACCACCACCACCACCTCCTCTTCCACCACCACCACTACCTCCTCCTCTACCACCACTACCACTACCTCCTCCACTACCACCACCACCTCCTCCTCCTCCTCCTCCTAACCACATTCCCTTCTAGCACTTATGGTGTTTCCTAGTTTGGTAATGAAACATCTGCAAGAAAACATCCAACTTCAGAAAGTACCAAGGATTCCAAAGTCGGTGTCGGTGGCCTCCTCCTCCCCCCACTGATGATGTTACCTAGTTTTGGTCCTGAAATCTCTGCAAGAAAACAACCAAGCTCAGAGAGCACCAAGGACCCATCCCTTTGCTTTATAGTTGCACCACAATCCTTGCCGGGAGGCTGTCTTGCCATAACTATGTTTGACGGGAAGGTTTCTCTTTGTTACTGTCTGGCGGGATTTTCAGTGGGAAGGAAAGGGGCTTATTGGAGGAGGATGGATTTTGGGGAGAGGGAGACCAAAAATTTCACAATGGTCTCTTGATCGATATTCTGACAAGCTCCGATCCTTCTTTCCTCCCCCCTCCTGGTTTTATTTATGCGGATGCACGCACATGGGCGTGTGCATTTCAAAGGATCCTCTCCCGGAGTTGGCCCATGAATAAAACATGGAGCCTTGCAATTACCAGCTCACGGAGGCTTCCTCCTTCGGCTTGACAGCTAAGATGGTTTTTGGAGAGGAGCCCAAAACAACGGTTAAAAATTAAGCAATAATGGCCTGTGATAATAGTTTTATAGCAAACCTGGAGTTTGCGTTTCCACCGTGGCCGAGGGATATAACGAGGGTGAGCTCCCTTCCTCCCTGCAACTGAGAGGCAGGAGCCGTGCATCTTGAAAATGGTTTCCAGGGAAACTACGGGCAGCCTTCTAGGATATGGACCGCCCTTGTGAAGAGGGGATGCGTTAAAAAGATGGGAAGAGGATCACAGGCTATATCTCTTAAAGGCTGCTTTTTTTAACTACAAGCGCGCCTTGCCTTAAAACCAGCGGTGGGATTCAGACCGTTCGGACCAGTTCGGGCGAACTGGACGCTAATTTTATATCTGGTTCACCGAAGTGGTATTGCAAGGACTCGCTGGCCCTGCCCCCTCCCCTCCCAGGAATCGCCACATGGCCCGTTTTGGATTCCAGGTACCGTATTTTTCGGAGTATAAGATGCACCTTTCCCCTCAAAAAAGAGGCTGAAAATCTGGGTGCGTCTTATACACTGAATACAGCATTTTTGGCGTCCCGAAACCCTACCCCCGTCACCAAAATGGCCATGCATTGCCTTTAGGAGGCTTTCAGAGAGCTCCTGGGGGCTGGGAAGGGCAGATATTTCCCCCCCCTCCAGCCCTAAAAGCACTCTATAAGCCTCCCAAAGGCTAACCATGCCCCTTTTTGACAAAAAACAGGCCATTGTTTGCTTGTTTTGGCCCCCAAAAGTACTCTACAAGCCTCCTAAGGGCTATTCATGCCGTGACCTGACAAAAGCGCGAACGTCATAAGCGCGCCGACAACACCGCAGCGCTAAAACCGTGATGTCAAAAGCACGCCGACAACAGCGCGCCGACAGAAGCGCGATTTACTTTAAGGTAAGATTTACATTTAGGGTTAGGGTTAGGGTTAGGGTTAGGGTTAGGTTTAGGGTTACTTTACAGCGCGCTTCTGTTGGCACGCTTTTGTCGGCGCACTTTAGGGCTAATTAGTCGCTCATTTGTCGCGCGGTTTTGTCACCGCGTTTTAGACATCGCGGTTTAGTCAGACGCGCTTTTGTTGTGCGTGCATTTGTGGTGGAACCATTCATGCCCCCTTTTTTAAAAAAGAAACTGGCCCATTTTTGTGAAAAATGGGCTGTTTTGGGGAGGTTTCCAGAGTGTAAAAAAATTTTTTTTTAAATTTACCTCTTCAAAACTTCGTTGCATCTTATACTCCAAAAATACAGTAAGTGCAGGGGCCACATGGAAGCTCTGGGAGAGTGAAAAATGGGGCTCCCAGAAGTTCTGGAACTCCAGAAACCCGTATCCAGCCTTCTGAAGTTTTCAGGAGGCCCATTTCCAGCCTCCAGAGCTTGGAGGAGGCCGTTTTTGCCCTTCCGGAGGCTCAAGGAAATGCCCCCTTCCCTGCTATGGTGCAGGAGACCGCCCACATCCACCATGGCCACGCCCACCCAGCAACTGTGCAGAGAACCCGCTGCTAAAAATTTTCAATCCCACTCCTGCTTCCTGACCACAATTGCGTCCCAAATTTCCGTGGTCTAAGCAAGAAAGTTTTTAAGCGAGTTTTGCCCCATTTTACGACCTTCCTTGCTGCAGCTGTTAAGTGAATCGCTGCAGCTCTTAAGTTAGTCAGACGGTTCTCAAGGGAATCCAGCTTCTCCAGTTGCTTGTCTGAAGGTGGCAAAAGAGGCTCGTGTGACCCCAAGACATTTATGCATCTCATAAACACGGGTAGTCCTCGACATACAACGGTTCATTTAGTGACCGTTTGAAGTTACGACACCACTGGAAAATGCGACTTATGACTAATTTAACAACTGCAGTGATTCACTTAACAACTGGCACCAAAAGGCCGTAAAATGGAGCAAAACTCACTTAACAAATGTTTCCCTTAATAAACAGAAATGCTGGGGTCAGTGGAGGTTGTAAGTCGAGGACTACCTAAATTCA